CGTTGTTAAATCTGTGTCAAAATTTCGTTGTCCAAATAACATTTTCCTAAATTATACATTACATATCTAACGCGCGTTCTAGTGTATGTTACGAGGGAGGAAAGGAAACTTTCAAAAAATTAAATTTATAACATATGTAGAAATAAATCTAGATTGATAATCTTTCTCACAATGAAAACGATATTTGACCGTTGTACAAATAATGGTATCAATAATTATAACAAATAAAAAAATGTAAATTAATTTCTAAACAAGGTTACGGTTCCACCAAAATGGGACACCAACGACAACTGCCTTGGTCTTGTCACCGACCTTGATTCGATCACCGCAACCCATTCTGGTCACCGCCTGTTCCACGGCGGGTTTGAGACATTTCTCCACCGGTGTCGACGGCGGCGGCGGAGGTGCCACTCTCACGGAGAAGTGAATGACTCCGTTTCGCTTTCCTTCCCAGTCCCTCAACCCGTAACTCAACTGTTGCAACTGATTTTCCGGGCCGGCGGCGCCTCCGAGGAAGTCGGAGGCAGCGATTCTGGCCACCCCAAGTGGGCGAAAGCCCTTGAATTTGCTGCATTGGACCTCGAATGTGATCGATCTTGCATGCACGGGAATTTCCAACAGGAACTTGTCGTTCCACGAGAGGAAGTTGGTGCCATCGTCTTTGGCCGTTCTGGTAGTGCAGCAGTTCAACGACTCCGCCCGAACGACGACGTATGCGTCCTCTGATATGCGCATGTTTTCGCTGGAGATAACGGTGATTTCTAGCGTACGTGATCTCAGTGTCATGTTTATGTTTTAAGGTTTGAAAAAGATGATGAAAAAGAATGAAGTAATGTAAATATGCAGTTCTGAAAATCCGTATGTTTTGTTGTTGGGTTTCTTCTTAGGTGATTATTTATAGGACTGGTTTGGATTATGGAACGCAGAAAGAAAGAGCGAAATTGGTTTGCGGTTTCAATGTTTAACTTTTGGTTTTTGACTTTGACCTTCTTCTTTACTCTAATAACGTGTGTGAGAAGTACTTGTTTTTGGAGACGCGGACGTATATTCAATTATGTAATACGAAGGTTGTAGGAAATAAATACTCAACAACGTATAATTAGTTCATTAATATCCCTTCTAAATAATGAAAATAAAATTAATATTTTTTTTTCTTTTTGTAAATTAAAGATTAAACCGCAAAATGATATCTCAGGTTTTTGTATGGTGCTAAGGAATTTCTGTTTTTCCTAAAAGAAAAGAAAAGACAAAAACAACTCGAAAGTCCACTAATGGAAGTTGCAACCAAACAATTTTAAGTGATTCTTGAAATCACAGAAGAACATACACTTAAGCTCATTACCCTTTATTTACGTTTTCGAAATTTTCCTAAGAATTAATTGCTTGTGCAAAGTCGCAGAAACTCAACACTGTGACAATACAAAAACAGGCGCAGACAACAACATTCTTAAATTTGCTGAAGGTGAACGTATATTCATTTTTTAAGTGAAACACTGTTATGTGGTCTTTTAATTTAAATTAATAACTATAAGAAATTCTATGTTCAGCCAGTCAAGTTCACACATGGTAATTAGTTTATATCTGTGTTTTTTCTTGAAGATTGCAGAGAAACTTTTAGGTGGAGCAATCCGCCCAACTTCACATTAACAAATTTTTAGTCTTTTAACAATATTAAAATTATTAGAAAATTTTGAGTGTAAATTTAAATTTCACGTTTATTACTTATAAGAAAGTTAAGTATTATGTAAATTTATGAATTTATTGTATTTAAGTTTAAATATTATTTTTTTCTTCGTTAAATTTTATTTTAGATCCCAGTTTTTATAACGTGCTTTTTTTAATGTTGTTTAAATAGTTAATAATACGTGAATGAATGAGAAA